TGAAATCCGCGCGAACCTCCGAGTTGTTACTGTTATGGCATTGCTCGTTCTCCTAGAGGTGGAGCGCTGTTTTCTGTTTTAAGTCCGGGTCGGGCGAAAGGGGGGGATAGCAAAGGGGGGGTTTGAGAATCAGCTCACGTAGCTGATTTTCCCGGCGCCTCCCGGCGCCGGAGGCGGCTATGTATCGAGGAATGGGCCCCTCGGTGGGGCCGAAACCAGCTGCATGCAGCAAATTTCGTAACCCCCCCTTTCCCAATCCCCCCCTTTCGCCCGACCCGATAGGTCTGCGGCAGGTTCGTGTCGTGCCGACTTCGGCGTGGGCGTCCGACGCCGCGGGGATCGTCCAACCTCGAACGGTCGGCCGTTTCCAAGACGTCCAGATCGTTCCACATCGAACGATTCTGGGTCGCCCGCGGCGTTCAAAATGGAACGCCGCGGGCGGGATCGCCGCTGGTCGACACGACACGAACCTACCGTGTACGTGCACATACAGAGATACTTGCATGGCACTTCCCCCCTCCCCCTCCTCCTCCTCCGCCGCCGCTTCAGACAGCGCTGGGCCACACAGGCGTGCGAGCGAATCCCGGCTTGCGTGAAGCCTAGATTTCCCTTCGGACCTCGCCGCGCAGACCCCCCCCCCTGGGGAAGCCAAGAGGCACCAGCACCAATGCCGCTACTCCCAGGACCACTGCTGGGGTGCGTCCTGACCAAGAGTTCGAGGCGAATCCGGCGGTGGCGACGAGGGCTTCTCAGGAGGCCCAAAAGGGGGAAAACGGGCGAAGGGTAGCGGTATTATGGATACTTGTTCCTCCTCGGATTCCCCCCCCCCCTCCATGCAGGTTTTTGTGTGTTTTTTCCCCCATGTTTTGTCCCCCCCGCCCCCTCCATGCAAGCAAACTTCCCAGGGTCTTCAGAGGCACTGCCTCGCACTGCAAGAGCCCCAGAACCCTGCAGGGGGGGGGGGACCGCCCTCGCGTCCTCCCTCGGTGCAGGGGGGGGGGGAGGGGGGACCCCCCTCCCGCCCTCGCGCCCTCCCTCGGGGGGGGGAACCGCACCCCCCGGGCGGCGAAACACTGACGCGCCTCCCCCCGCGGTAGCGGCGGCCACGGAGCCGCGGCGTCGCAGGCTCGGCTGCCTGCCGTGCCTCGCGGGACGTCGAGAGACGCGGCTCGGGCGATCGTGGGGCCGCCGGAGCAGTTGTTCGTGTTGGCGCCTGGGCGCTCCCCAGAAGGGAGGCGATTTTTCGCCACCTCTCACGAGGATCGTGGCCTGCGAGGGGGGGGCTGCAGTGGACTACCCCCCCCTCCCGCCCCAAGGGGCCCCCAAGAGCCCACCAAAAGGCCCCAGGGGGACCCAATACGCCGCCAAGGAGCCCCAAGACGCTCCCAAGAAGCCCCCAAGACGGCCCCAAGAGGCCCCGAATAGCGCTCCAGGGCCGGCGGAATGAGCGAAGCGATTAAATTAGTATTGGCGCCAGCGTTTCTTTCTTGACTCACAATAGATGCCCCTCCCCAAACCCCCGCCTCCGAGGGCCTGATCCGGCCAATCTGGAGTGAGCGGGTCCAGAGGCCCCCGAGAGGCCACCGAGAGGCCCCGAGAGGCTGCCCATGAGGCATCTGGATGGGGCACCACGACCACGAGAGGGCCCAAGACGGGGAAAGCGAAGAGACCTCGAACTATCTAACAGAGCCGTGCCCGCTGTTGTTGGCCCCGCAGCTTGGCCCAAGGATAGAGGAACAACAAATCATAACCATAGTTTTGTTGATTGGATTTCTAGGATCTGAGTTGCCCCCCCCCCCCCGGCGGGCGGAGCGCGCCATGGGCGGCGCCAGAGGCGCCGCCAGGGTCCCAGCGCAGATCCAAGAAATCTGCGGGGACCTCCACAAACATATGTTATACATGGTTTTTGTTTTTCGACAAAGAGTCGGCGGTGCGGAGTAAGCCCGTGAATCTTGGAGATGCCGAAATCAGCGAGCTTGATCTCGGCCTGGACGAGAGACAACGGCCTGGAGCCCGCTCCCGTCCCGCTGCTTGCGAGGAGCACGTTGGAGGGCTTCACGTCTCGGTGGAGGACGCCCTGGGAGTGCACGAACCGCAGGGCGCTGCCAATGGCAGAGAGCACACGCCGCACGAAACCCGCGTCGGGGGGCGGCTCGTGCGAGTTCCGCCTGCTATCGATAACACTCTGCAGGTCTCCTCCGTTCATGTAGTCAAGCGCTATCCACACCACGCTGCGCCCAGCATCCCAGCAGACGTCGAGGCAGCTCACTACGTGTGGATGGCGGAGGCGCTGCAGCAGCTGTGCCTCTGCGAGCGCCGCCTCGCGCGCCCGATCGGCAGCCGCAGCGTCGAGGTGATCGCACGGGACGACCTTCATGGCAACCCTCTGCGCCTGCAGCGGATCCTCCGCCAGGAGGACCACGCCGAAGCTGCCGCGGCCCAGGATCTGCAGGACCCGGTAGCGGCCCACGGCGTCGCCCGGCCGGCATGCCGCCATCATCCCGCGCAGGCGCTAGCAGATGGCAGGCGCGCAGGGCCCGAGACGCCGCCTGCGCTGCCCGCGCGGCATCCCGCTCCGGCCGCTCGCGCACAGGGCAGCTGCAGGCTTGAACCAAGCTGCGGCTCGACTCCCAGGCGTGCGACGGCCTGCCAATGTTTCGATGCGGCGTCCCTGGAACTCCCGCCCCTTCCCCGGGACCGGTTTTTCCGTCCCGAGTCGTGTTTTGACGGTCCCGGGGCCCGGCGAGGGCCCCCCGAAAGCCGGGACCTGCCAAGAACCGCACGTCCTGATTTGTGTGAAGGACGCGAGCATGCCTAGGCGGAGCTCTTCGAGCGCCTCAGAGCCTCCCTTGCTGAAAGGGAGAGCGTCAGGGGGAGGACTCGCTCGGGGAGGGAAGTGTTGAGCTGGAATCCGCGATGCATGGCCGATGCCGCTGGATCGGCGACCACCGCGCTCCTTGGTGGGCTTGCTCTCCACCGCCACCACCAGAAGTAGGAGGGGGAGGGGGTCCTCCACCTCGTCCTCCTCCTCCACCTCCTCCTCCTCCTCCTCCTCCTCCTCCTCTTCGTCCTCCTTCTCATCCTCCGCCTCCTTCCCCCCTCCAACTTCATGGTGGCGGTGGAAAACAGGCCCACCACTCCTGGGCGGGACGGGCTGCTGGGCCCCTGCCCAGCGATGACTGGCCGTTAATTACAGGCTCGATGCCTCCCCCCTTGGGCCGATCCTCACGTAACGACTAAGCCGCCACTAGAGTCAGGTCGGGCCTGTCCCCCTACAGGGGGATTTTGGGCGAAACATGAAATACTTTAAAAAACGCCCAAACTGCTAAAACGTTGTCACAAACATCGTCCCCTGACTCTTTCTTATTATCTTGAATATTCCCCCTGTAGATGGACAGGCCCGACTCAACACTAGAGGCCCCCTAGATGGGGCCCGAGCAGATGGGGTCGGAGGATCGTGCCGCACCACCAGTGCAATCGGCGACGCATCGGCGACGCATCGGCGACGCATCGGCGACGCATCGGCGACGTCGGCGTGGAGAAAATCGCGCTCCGCATCGGGCCGCATCGTCGACGCATCTGACTACCTACCAGACCACCCCAACCCAACCCGAAGACCCGAATTTCGGGTTGGGGGGGGTAAGGGTTTCACATGTGTTTTTTCGATGTTTCCCGACCCCCCCCCCACTGGAAATCGAGGGTAAATTTGGGCCTTCGGGTTGGGTTGGGGTGGTTTGGTGGGTGGTGAGCATCGGCGGCGCGGCGCGCTCCTCCGACCCCACCAGCCAGAGGACCCCGCGCCGTGCCGGAGGAGCCCACGACTGCACATCCCCGGAGCATGCCGGAGGCCCGAAGCGCACCTCTCTCGGGGTCGGCGCCCGGCCCCGCCCCCCCATGGCGCGCGCGCCGGGCGTGCCCCGGGGGCCGCGCGGGAGGCGCGGCCACAGCGGGGTCCCACCGCCGATCCATTCCAAGATCGGGGCGCGGCCAGTGCTGCCCCCGCCTCCCTCTCCTCCTCCTCCTCCGCCTCCTCCTCCTCCTCCTCCTCCTCCTCCTCCTCCTCCTCCTGGTCCGTATCTGTTTCAAGGGGGCGTAAGGCCCGACACAGGGGACTCGGAAATCCCCGACGAGGTCGTCAAAAAATGACGAGGCCGAGCCTGCATTTTGACGAGGCCTCCCGCTGCAGACGTCCCACGAAGCTCCTCCTCGTCAGAATCCGAGGCGCGGTCGTCAAAAAACGATGGCGAACCCGAGTCCTGGCAAACCCGGGTCTTACGCTCCCCCGACAAGAGGTCCGCGCGGACCTCCGAACATGCACGTTTATGCGGTGTGCGATCCGTCGGCGATGTGGGCAAAGCGTCACCAACGAGGGGGGAAGCCAAAAGATGCACCGATGCCGATTCTCTCTGGACCTCTCCCGGGCTGCTCTCTGAGCAGAATTTCGACGAGGGCCTCCCAGGAGGGCCAAAAGGGTGCAAAGAGGCAAGGGCAGCGGTATCGGCACGTCCCCCTCCTCTGAATAACTACTTCCTGTATGTAAATCCCAAAGTGTTGGAATAAAAGTAAAGCCTTCGGCACCACGAACACAACAGGCTTGAGGACAGCGCAGCAAACACCCACACCCAAACGGGACCCCAACTCTCGACCTGGTGATCCAGGGTATCCTGGCTGGGAGTGCGGCTTCTGGTTACCTTAAAAACCACCCCCACCTCCAGCAAGAACCCCTTGGATCACCAAGTCGGGAGTGGGGGTCTTGGCTGGGGGTGGGGGTGGGTTGTGTTGTCGGCATGACGCGAATCATAGCAGGCGGTGAAAGCTGAAAAACACCGGCCGAGGGTCGCAACACCGAGGGCGGAGTAGCAATTAACCGGTCGCCGCCTGGAGAATTAGCCGTGTCCACTGTTAAGGCAAAGCCAACCGGACTAAACCAGACCCACCAGATAAACTGTCCGACCAGTCAGAGCAGACCAGCCCATACCAAGCAAACCAGACCAACCAACAAATGCCAGCCCTGCAAACCGAACAGCACAAACCAACGGAATCGAGCAAGCAAGAGAAAGACCCGGCGCAAACAGACCAGTGGCACTAACGAACTTGGATCGGGCCCGAGAAAACCCAGCCGACAAGACCAACCAGACCAAGTGGCCCAACCACGCCAGACCGAGAACACTGACCCACCAGACCGACCAGATATCGGAGCAGCCACCCCAGGCTGACCGTGCCAAGCAACACAGCGAGACCAGCCATGCGAAATGCAGCAGCCGCGCACAGGCCAGACTGGCGGCCAGACCAGAGCAGGCAGGCCAGTACCAACAAGAGCGAGGCACGCAATGCCAGACCCGCACGACCAGATCAGACCAGCGAGGGCACACCGGATCGTACAAAACAAGAGCGAGCGCAGGCAGACCAGTACCAACACGAGCGAGGAACGCAGTGTGGGACCTGCACTACCAGATCAGACCAGCGAGGGCACACCTGATCGTACGAAACAAGCCAGTTCAGCCAGCCAACAAAGGCCAGCCCAGCGAACCAGACAAACCGAACCAAGCGGCCCAGCCAGACAAGAGAAGGGACCTGTGCGACCAAACCGATTCGACCAACTGACTTGGATCGGATCTGAAAGAACCGTGACGACCAGGTAATCCAAATTTCGGAAATACCCTCGGCGACGGTGGCAGCGACGGCGCTCCGTGGAGGTCCACAGGAAAGCCGTTGGGGCCCTCGCGTGAGTTTCTTGTGGGCGGCCTACTGGAAACTTCTTGGCCTTCTTTGGGAATCCCTTCGCAGTCTTTCCGAGGCCTCTTGGGGGCTCTTTGGTGGCCTCTGGGCTCCTTTCGGCAGCTTGTGGGGGCTTTCGGGGAAACTTCTGCGAAGCGCTGTGAAATATTCTTACGGTCTCAATGAATTTCCGTGAGCGAGATGCCGCGGCATCTCCCTCGTGGACAGCTGTTGGGGCTTCCTTGGAGGGCTCTTGGGGGGCATCTTCGGGCCTTTTGGTGGCCTCCTGAATTCTCCTGACAGCCTGCTGCAAGCCTCTTGAGCGTCTCCGGGGGGCTATGGAGGCCACTTTGGGTGGCATAACCCATGCCCGCGAGCGAGATGTCGCGGCATCTCGCTCTGTGAAATTTTTGTGGAGCCTCTTGGAGAGCTCTTGGAAGCCTGCTGGGGGCTCACTGGTGGCCTCTTCTTGGGCTGCCCTGGAAACTTACTAGGGGTGTCTTGAGCTTCTCTGCGGGCCCACAACATGTCCGCGAGCGGGATGCCGCGGCATCTCGCTCGCGGGCGCGATGTGGGGCCTCTGGGAGTGCTCGTGGGCGCGCTGCGGGGCTGGTTGACACTGAACGCTTCGCAACTCCCTGGCCTCCCACTTTCGCGCTCGGCTCGCACGCGAAATCCGAGCTCCAGCAGCGAAACTACAGCAACGGAACATGCAATGCAGAAAACACTGCGATGACAACCAAACTGTCAAACAGCAACACATCTCCTCGACCCACGATCGGCTCGCACACGTAATCCGAATCTCAAGCTCTAGCAGCAAACCTACAGCGCAAAACAAAGCAATGACGAACAATGGCAATGCAAAAAGCTGCAATGCTAAACGACTGTGGTTCTGTCGTCGCGGCCGTGGTTGACACTGCGCGCTTCGCACTTCCCTGGACATCACCAAACCACGTTCGGCTCGCACGAAGAAATCCGAAGCGTAACCTCTAGCAGCAATGCTACAAGCAAAACATGCAATGCAGAAAACGCTGAAGCTCAAGCTCTAGCTCAATTCTGGGGCTTTAAACTTGCTCTGTGGAAGCTTGGCGTCAGGCCGTGCGCTACATGGCTAAGAACTTGATGAGCGTCTGCGGCGGGTTGAACGATTCGGAAACTCGTTGCCTGCATCAACTTCTTCATATTGGCGCTCGAGACACGCCGCCCCCTCAAGGCAACCCCAACGCCCCCTCACTCATATCCGCAATTGCGGGGGTTACGATGCGATTGTAAAGAGCACGCGGCCTCATGGACAACGTTCCAGCCTGCACGTCGGTCTGGCGCTCCCTGTCCTCGATGTCCTGGATAACGCCGGTGTTGAAGCAGGAGGAACGGAATACGGCTGCGTGGCACACTGTGCAAACATGGCCGCAACTACCATACAATTGATACTGAACGTGTCAACAGTTTGCAAACTATCACGTCACGCACGGACAGGGTGTTTACAGGAATAATGATACTCACTACGGTTATTCCCCTACGTACCAGGATGCCCACACAACTCGAATGAATGCACGCGTCCGGACGCAAGACGGCCAACATTGCGGCAAGGAGAAGCGGGCATGTCCCACGTTCGGCGAGCGCGGCTGGAAATCAACATGCAAATTCCTCGTCCAAATTGAGCGGGCGGGGGGGCGGCGCAACAACTATCGGAAAACAGCAAGAAAGGCTGAGTATCGGCAGCCGCTCTGGCCCGTGAGCTGAACTGCGCCACGGGATGCCGAATCCTGAGGGATACGTCTA